TCTAATATACCCACACAATGAGAATACTATTTCCAGGGTGTCTATACTAGTACTCAAGTATCGCTATTATCGCCAGAAATAGTTTGATGATGTTTTTTTACATGTTTTTTCCGTTGTCATGCAACCTGACTCGCACCGCCACGTTCGCCAGACTTTCCCCTACCCCCTCGTACAGTACCCGGTCGGCACGTGACAACATGACGGGCGCTTATCAACCTAAATGCGCCCGGTCCGAAAGTGCCGAAGAGTGGCTGTTCCTCAAAATGTATCGTAGAGCGCCGACACCGTTGAGTGAAGGTTATCCCTCCATTCATTCACCCATTCGTGAACCCCCCAAAAAAAACTCCCGCAACCATTGTCTCGCTTGGTCAGTAAGTAGTACCGTACGAGTACAACCGTCGGCAACTACCACATGATAGTCAGAAATTCGTAGATGTGCACACTTCAATTTAGGACGCCCATAACTGCAAGTACGGTACTGCTATCGGTAGTAAATTTATGCAGTATGATACACGAAGGACAAACGAGAAACTCTGGCAACCCAAAGCAAGCACGCGCTATCTTACACTAAACGATGTGCAATACATGATTTTCAAAATTTAAGCAGGCCAATCATCTCAGCTACACGGGCAACTTATCAGAGCACCACATCCAGCACTCGCTCACTAAAATCGCAACGGTAAAAGTGAGGGGAATTCGGGAACAAAACGAAGGAGATACCGGTATCATATCGTGGAAAACGGAAACTGTCGTTGCCGAGATATCGATTAGTAATTCGAGTATTGTTAAGGCCTTGGCACCTTTATACTATGGTAGTACTAGTGCTAGGGCTCGTACGATATGCCTGTACTGTACTGTACTCACCTGCCATAGCGTGATACGGTATCCAGGAAAAGCCGTCTTTACTCCTTCCCAACCAACACCCGCGCAAGTAGTCAGACCAAACGGAGCCCACAACCACACACAATCAAGAAGAGGAGAGTCGATCTCAAGCGGTCCCAATGTATATTTTCCAAAAATAGTCCTGCCGCCACAAGGGTACCCGAGTAATGATACGGCACGGTATGATACGTTAATGGCTCTGGTCTTGGTCTTGGCTATGATACATGGCGTCGATTTCGGAATTCCTCACTTGAGCACCGCACCGGGAACAGGGCGGCATCCCACATCTTGGCACACGCACACATCACACTTTTCCCCCCTCCGGCCCACACGAATGCCCGGCCATGGTTCGCGAGGGGAATTCAAGATTAACTTACGGTACTGGTACAGTGCTAGTACGCGCTGCTCGTGATCAAAGTTAGACTACTGTGGATCCCTTCCATCAATGACAGGTATCATAATTGGGGGAAGAAGAAGAAAAAAAAAATGTAAACTTGGCAATTGGACAAGCTCTGCTCCGGGTTTAGTCTACCGTACCCATTCATCTTCACCACATCTCCCCTCCCGTCCCGCACAAGCAAACGCGGTCCCGACCTCGCCAAACTCAATCTGCTCGAGTATGACATGCTAGATATGCTATTATGCTACGATAAACTCCCTCGATCCATGCAAACTGGCTAATTATGATGACACCAAATTGAACCTGTCCGCGGCTCAGAAAAATAATAATAATTCAAATATCATACCCCACATATAACCCAGCAGATTCCCTTCTATACCGCGCCAAAAAGGTTCCTCTCAAACTCCCTCTTGACCTCCCACCTTTGATCTCCTCCAGGTCTACCAAACTCACTGGACGCAGGACTCAGCACCAATTCCTGCCCTTCGATGCCAGTGTACACCGGGGCCTCAAGCAATGAAACTACGCCTGCGCTCGAGAGGGCGGACAAAACCCTTTCGACCGCATCGCCCACGCCCCTCCCGATGACGGCAACGTTGGACACGAAAAGCCCCTTCACAGAGGCGCCCCGGCGCCCGATGAACGGGAGCAGGTCCCCTTCCAGGAACTTGAACCCCTGAACGAACAATACAGAAAGCGAAGCATGGACACGCGAGATGGGGAAGAGCGGGATGTACGCATCGTTGCAGTAGACTGTATCACAATCCTCCATCCAGAATCGGAGGTTCGTGATGTTCTTCATCCTAGAGATCACGTCCGCCAGCAGTACGTCCTCACTCTCCATCCTTCTGGGGAAGCGTGCGTATACCGCTCTCTTCTGTGATGCAATGTGAATGTTTACCGTCGTGAGCATCTCGACCAGCCCCTTGTTACCAACGCCGCAGCCAAAGCCCAACAATTCATCAAACGGCATCTGCGGGATCCTCGTGGCCTCAAACTTTTCCAACGGCAAAACATCCTCCCCACCCCCGATCTCCGCCCTCTTTGCCAGAGCCTCGGTGAGGGCTTTATGCGCGCGTTTCCCACCGAGCGGGATGTCCCTGAGTGTGTAGGACCAGCTCTCGTCGTAATATGCGTGGTCAAACTTCCCATACCGGAGCGCCGCGCAGCGCAGGTGCGGGAATGCGCACACTGCCCGGCGGAGCACCCGCGGCTCCAGAGGGAGGAGGGAGTTGTGTTCCGTGAATTGCTCCTCGTAGTGTGTGTAGAAGGTCTTCATGTGCTCCCCGTGGTAGGCACGGCCTGGCGGGGCCAGCATGGTCTTGAAATGCGTGAAGGACATGGCTAGTTTTCGCCCATTGTCAACCCGATTAATTTTGGGAAGGTAAGACGGGTGAAGCGGGGGGGTGGGGACGAACAAGTACTGTAAACACCTACAAACACATACTCGAAATTCCGAACATGCCTCGCCAACCGTGGCGTCGAGGCGATGCTCTCCAATCTCTCCAAACTCTCCTTGCAAAAGTAAGTCGTGACATGGCGAAACACGGAGGCGGTGGCTAGTTCGCAGAGCCGTCGGTTGACCAGACGAACCGATAACTGACTCCTCTTCGGCAGTAAGGAGATGATCTGGTCGGTAAGTTCAATAGGTAACGAATTCATCCCCCCCCCTTTGTTTTTTTTTTCCCTTCCCTTCCCTGCCGAAAAGCGAGCCGAATCGAATCAAATCAAATCAGAGATAGAGATAGAAATAGAAATAGAGACTCGAAATCACCTCAGCCAGCGAGCAAGCACAGTAAGGTGACGAACGAGGACGACGGCGACGATTAAAAGCAGATAAAAAAGCGAAAAAAGTGCAATTTATTTTTCCTCCATCACATTAAATGCCGCTACACTACGGTGCCCCATACACGAAGAAGGGGTGCTCGCAAATTTCACAGCACAGTACAAGTGTCCGGATAACCTTAACGCCAAGGCCCACCACCAAAAAGCGTGGATCTCTGACCCCAAGGTGACTAGATATCTCCGAAATTCGCGAGTCCTCGAGTCCTCGAGTACGCTGGTCCCGACGAGAGCACGCTGTCTCAGACCGACGTGCTATGTGTTGTCTATGATACCGTGTCTATCCATCCTTCGAATTCGCCCCGGACCCTTCTTTACTCGTATCATACCGGTATTTCACTGCCCCCCCCCTCCCTCTCCAAACGTTACTTCCCGAGCCGCAACCTCCCGACCCGTCCGCCGCCCTTTTTAATCCTGCGATATGACACATACCGTTCCCACCCGATCCCACGGGAACCGTACCGACCGCCAAGAGAATCATATTTCGAGTGATAGTATATGATCGATCAACGGAGAGGGGAAAAATAGGTAAACAAACAACTTTGGTTGCGAATGTATTGTAAACAAACAAGACGAAACAGTGATCCCCGTTTTGTGCCGTGCTCTCCCTGCAGCGTGCGTACGGGACTGACAGAATGAGGATGGAGAACACGCATGGGATCGCTGCACGGCGTTTAAATTGAGAGATTGCTTGAATTCTCGGGGACAGCACGGACTGTGCTCGCGGTGCGTGGTGGTGGTGCGGTGCTGTACGAGAAAGGGGGAGGGTCCACCAGTGCCGGCGCCCTACCCCGACAATTGAGGAGGGGCAAAGGTGGGAAGGCGAACGAGGGAATAAAGTTACGGTATGTGAGATCGATTAATCATACCAGTGTCGTGCTGAAGCAAGGAAGGAGGAGGGCCAGGCAGGCGGTATCGTGGGTGTGATATTACAAGTATATCCAGCGCAATCAGACTTCAGCTGAACTCTACGGCACCCCACTATTAACCCCAGACATCCCAGATGCATCCCCGATACCGGTACCGTACCGTACTGTATCATATCTCTCTGTCTTGTCTTGTCTCTCTTGCATTTTATTTCGCCTCACTTTACTTGTACTCCTCAGCGCCCTCGGCTCTGCGGATACAGGTAACCTAGCGTGATCCGGTACAAACCTTCCATCTCCACACAAATGAAACCCCTAACCAGTCAAATCCGCAGATCTCAAAACTCGGAAAAAAGAAAAAGCATTTCTTCTCCCCCCCTCCCACCAAATTAACTTACATTACGGTGCGCTTCGTGCCAGAGAAATGTCACTCAAGCGTATGCAACGTACTGTGATGTGATGTGATGTGACCTCCCCCCCCCTCCCTTCAACCCTAGAAAACCAAACGAGAAGAGGGAACAGAACCTGCATGCGAGTGAGCCCGCAGCAAGAATAAAATTGGCTCGTTTTTTTCTCTATACTGCAGTGCTTGCAGAGTACCTCGGGATCGTCGTACACTTTTATTCACTTTTGGATAGGTATCTTTTGCTTTACATACAGTACATACATACTGGTACAATACATACATACATACCGCACTGCACATTCAGAGTAGAAGTTTGAGCCGTGGATACGATATTGTGTTGTGATGCTGTGGTATGATACTGTGCCCGTGGTTTTTGCAATGTCTACCGTACTCGCTCGCTAATCGAACTGGGACGCGATGTACTGTACAGTACGGTACTGGACTGCGCGAATACTCGTACAGTACTAGTACAGCGCGCGATGCGCCCCATCCATCTGTACTCGCGTCAACGGACCGTACTGCCCTATCGCAGGCCGATTCCCTCCCTCCGCTATGCACTCGACGAGTACTTTACCGTATCTCCCCAAACCACCCAAGCACCTTCAACCCATCCGCCCCAACAACCCACGATTGGATTGGCAGAAACCACCGTAACTTACTGGACTCGAGTACAGTATATATCCTCACCGCATCCTCCAATGCCTAGGACTCGCTCCCCGAACCCGACCACAAACTCTAATCTACACATTATCATTTCTTCCCACCAATCCACTTTCCATCCAATCCCATCGTCACTCAGCATCCTACTTGTAATAACTAAACTAGACTAGTCCGGTAGAAGCAAGCAAGCAAAGAAGCAGCCCTCCCAATCCGGGCATCGTATGGCTAACTTTGGTTCGCTACCGCTGTTGGGCCGCTGAGAAGAGGGTGCCTTTCTTTTTCTTCTTTTCTTCTTCATCGCCTTTGCCCATTTTTGGAGGTTTGTTGTGTTATTGTGCTCTATTCTATTTATTCTACCGACTCTATGGATTGTAGCCTATGCCCCTGGGTGATGCATGTATTAGTGTACTACCGGTAGTGCAGTATGTATGTGTTCTGGGGACGTGTTATGCTGTGTGCGCGAGCAAAGAGAGGCAGAGTGGAAAGTGGCATTTGTTTTGATTTTGGGGTGGGCACTGAGAGGGAGAGGGACATCAGCGCGATCGCTTAGGAAGGAGAGGAGAAGAAAATCAAAACATCCTTTTTTTCTTTTCGCTTTCCCACCCTTGCACTGCCTGGGCCTGGGGGTTACCCTTCACTCACTCACTCATTCTTCCTTACCCACAATTAACGTAAACCCGACGATCCTGCTTCGTTCACTCGGTCGCTCACTGCTCGCCCACCTTTTTCGTGTTGTGTATATCCCTATCCCATCCCGTTGGCCGTTTTTTTTTTCTTTTTCTTTTACCTTTCCTCCTCCACTTCAACCTTTCCCTTTTCCCTTTTCCCTTTTCCCTTTTCCCTTTCCTTTTCCCTTCTTCCTTTTTCCCTTTTTCCCTTCTTCCCTTCTTCCCTCTTCCCTTCTCCCCTTCCCTGCCTCTGACCTACCTAAACCTACCTGACCTGCCTGACTCCCATCCCCCCTTCCCTCCCATCCCGTCCCAGAAGAAAGAGGTCGTGAAGAACGTTTCTGTAGTCATTGCCTGTATCGGCATTCCTTCTTCAGACTTCTTTTTTCTCATCCCCACCTCTCTTCCCCTCATCCATCCCCACCTCCAATCGACATCACAACGACGCGCTCAAGGGCCGAGTCAGCTTTCCTTCATTTCGGGCTTCCCCTTCTCCTTGTTGTTCAGCCCGTCAGCTGCCTCGATAGAATCATCCGAATAACCTAACTTGGCGGCCCTTCCTTCCTCAGAGCGCTCCCGCTCGTCACTTATACATTCGTTAAGCCATCGCTCCGCTCGCTGTCATTCTCTCGTACTATATATACCAACGCCCGCCAAATCCTTTAACGAATTCTTTATCACGAAATTTAAACGACCTTTCAATTTTTTCTGCAATTTTTTCTTCCTTTTCGCTGCCTCTTCCTTCACGCTCTCGTGAGGGTTGTTTATTTGGCCGAGGAGACTTTCGACTGTTAATTTGTTGACTTGGGTTGAAGGCTTCAACCGCATAGCATTTCTGTAATAGTCTCGCAATTGGCAGACAACAACGATTAACGACAACTTCAGCTGCTCCCAGTTGAGGTACGACCTATAATATCAACGGCCCTTTGACGAGCAGATCCGACCGAAACTTGTACCGACGAGACGGTCTTGCTACCATCTTGCGAACCTGATACACGGTACATACCTGCCTACCACTTGGCCCTCTCATCGTCCGTCGTGTTAATGTCTTCCTAGATACCAATACTTCACACCTGTCAGCATAAACATAATACGATATTTCAGCGAAACCTCAGTAAACATGATGCAGACTGGAACAGAACGTGATAGTATGCCACCCTTGGCGACTGAGTCTTCGCAGTCGGCGTTGCTTCAAGCGCCGGAACAAGGCTCTCTTGCTCCGTGGCTTGAAGGCGCCTCTGATAGTATTCCCTGCACACCCCCCCCTCAGTTGCTGTCGCCTCAACCTCTCACCCCAAAGCCCACGAGATTTGTTTCACCCCCTCGTACTCCGCTGCCCAAACTTTTCACTAGCCTCACCCCACGGGCCATTCGCCAATGGGAGGCAGCTGAGGGAGCGGGGAATACCGCTGCCACTATCAGCCGTCCAGAATCCGCTTGCTCCAACTATTCCTCGTCTTCGGACTCATCGCTAGATAGTTTGACGACCTTTACCACAGCGGGAGGAAGTTGTACTAGTCCTGAAACCGAGGCTTCCTTCTTCGCCGATGAGCCGGAAAAAGAGACCGTCCACCTCAAGCCTACCGATGCCCCGAGATGGAGTAGTAAGGTACAAGATGGAACCGGTGAGAAAGATGGTGCAAGCCAGATCCGTGTTCGGAGAACCAAGTGGAGTGAGGAGATGGACAACCATTTGTGGAGGACATACATAATATATCAACAGGACCCTAAGATAACGCCATTTTATGTCTTGCCAGGGCAAGTCCCACCCTTGGGAGTATGTTGTAAAGTTGCTAGGGAGACAAAGAGGAGCTGGAAGGTGGCCAAGATGGGTGATGGATGGAAAGGTGTACCGAGCACCCCGAGACCCAAGAGAAAGTCAAGGGTTTCGGGTTATAAGACGGCGAGTGATACTGCGGCCACGGGGAACAGGGGGGACATTTTGCGAAAGACTTCGCCGTATTCGTGGCCCGCGTCCGAGGCCTCGACTCGTCGTCGTTTAAGAGAATTGTGTAGAGACAGCTATGGTCCTTCGATAAATCCTCATCGAGAGTATCGGCAACAGCGTCGGACAACGTCCACCCCCAGACTTCTCCCACCTCGGTCATCAACGGCATCACCTTCCCCACTCAATTCAGCCACATCAGATAGACTTGGGTCTCGGGATTCCTTTTTGTTCTCGACAAGGAGTATAGCACTTTCTTTGACAACCAGCACGGCATCCACCATGAATCCGAATGGTCTTTTGGCCGCAATTGCCTCCGGTTATGACGTTGAGCCTGGGATGGCTGCAGGTTTCGGGAGTGGCAGTTTTAATTTCGGCGGAGTTCCAGAAAGTGTTTCTGGCGTAAATAGATGTAATAACAGTGTTTCCGGACGGAGTGAGGGTTCCCAATTGCAACAGACCGGGAACGAAATGGAGCAGGGCAGCCCGGTCAGACATGAGACCGATAATGGTCCTTCTGGTTCGTCAGATGGCGGGCCCTCGGGATTAGGGGGCTTGTTACCGCCGTTGGAGCTGAATTCGTCTTCCTCTTCATATGGCACCTGGCCAAGACGCCTCAAGCGTCAGGAGATACTCCCCGACTTTAGTGAGGATGCGGTTGTTTTCCCTCCGCCCCGCAGAGCTCGCAGGGGAACAATAGGTGACCTCTTCGGTAATCCCATCCCCTCTTCCCCAACCACTACCCCGGCAACAACAAATGCAAGTGCAATGTCCACGGCAACAAACACAACGGTTCGCAGCGCACGTAGTCGTGGGTTCACTATCGGAGCTAGTTTCGGTAGTAGTCTGACCAGCCGAAGAAGATATCGACCATCGGCACCTCTGCTGACGGTCACTGGCCCAGTGTCTTATGACTCGCCAAACGACTCTGAGATGTTGAGCCCTCTTGCAGCCCGGCACTCATCGTTGGACACCATTAAGAGTGACGATCCGTTCGAGCTTCCGAGGCGTCTTGGCTCCCCATTCCTCGAACGTAAGGATTGGAAGGGGGGAGAGGCAGAGGACTTGGAGGAGAAGTCTGGGCCTGATAGTCCTCTCGATGGAGAATTTGGTGATTTTCTTGGACTCCGGAGTGATGTTGGGATAACAACGGGAAGGAGTACTCCCACAAGACCTATCAAAAGGGCACGCGAGTAAACCCTCGGGGTTTGATCCATTCCTCTCGGGTTGATAGTTTGTCCCTATGCATTCTGACCCCGTTTTGATGCACGCATGAGTTGGTGGACCTCTTCTGGCTGCCGGCTAGCCTACAACTCGACCACTTGGTTCGAGGCAATCCTTATTAGCACATTCCGTTCCGTTTTCACATTATAATATCTTTCTCCTTTGATCTCTTTATCTACCTTTCGATCTTTCTTATTATATAGTTTCCTGCCGTTTCCACTCCTTATCTCTTTCCTTGCTTGTTTCTCCGTACCCGTAACGATTATGCCGATATGTTTGATGTTTTTCGGGAACCCATTCGTTTCCTTCACGCGCATCCCATCATGATTCTCAAAAATATTTCCTCTAATTGCTCGAGTTAGTTTCTTGTGCCGTACCATAGGAAATTTATGAACATACCGTACCTGTGACTCCTTTTTCTCGTAGGCTGAGGCATGTGCAAAGTGAGGTAGAGAGAGAGGGCGGGGGAAGGGCCGGGACATAGTTTTTTCTTCGTTACCTGCACCCCCCCTCCCTTCACTGCGTAAGCAGAGAAAAAACACTTTACGCGGTTGGCGGGACAACCTAACAAAGAAAACTTTTTCTCTCCTGCTTGCGGTACGGTATGGCACGGCATTGGTGCAGCCAACATTCTACACTGTCGACGGCCGGTGTTTGTTTAACGTGCGTTAATTTAGAAAGAAGGAAAGGAATGACAAGAAGTTAGATTACTGGGATGCTTTTCTCGTGCTATATTGGTGGGCCTCCTCCTCCCGCTTTGCAGATATTTTACAGGGGTAGACTTGCTGGAATCATTGCATAGCACCGACTGGTGCCAGTATTCCAATGCATTGCACGGGTATATGTAGAATATCATTGGCTCCTTACTCGGGTCTAACGTGATGTCAGGAAGGAGCGTACAGTAGAGAGACATGTTTGGTTTACGGCCTATGATATCCATTGGGCGAGTGAGGGCGAATCCAAATACCGCGGTGGTATACACCGTACCGTACGTATCATATGGGTTCAATCTAGGTTGACAATGGCCAAGTTGCCGTATTATTATAACTTAGTCTATGTGCAACACGGTCCGCGAAAAACCATGTACTTGTAAGGTGTGTATGTGGTACAGTACAGAAACACTTTTGGCTCCCCGGCACAGCGACGAGGCTGACATCGGTAATTTTCTTTTCCTTTCCTTTCCTTCTTTCCTCTTCGCTGCCGTGCGATGGTGAATGGACTGGGGTGAGTTTCTCTCGACGAATACGGGAATTGCTCCATTATAACATTAAAATCGTCCGAGCGGTTTTTTCTCTCGGTTTCCTTCTGGCACGGTACTTCTGTTTTGCGGTAAGGGGCGGTGCGGTAAGGGAGCTTTCTGATCAGTCCTTGGCGAGGAGCGACGGAAGGCTCGGAAAGCTGGGGTTTGGTTGGCGGGTTCGTCTGATTGCACCGTTCTCTGGTATCGTGTCCGGTACCGTAGGTACGGGAACTGCGGGTGTTGGCTAAGACCGACTCGTATGGACGTACTATATTCGTAGGGGGAAACCGGTGGGGGAAGATGGCAATGGTTCGGGCATCGTCATCAGTGGCTCTCTCTGGGATCGTCGGCCAATGGTATCGTGCTCGGACTTGTTGAGGCGGTTATTGGCAGCACGATGCATAATGGTTTTCATTGCTGTACGAGTAGTGTTTGCTTCAAGGTCGGGTGGGACAGCGTCATGGCAGAGCACTCGCTATCCGCTTTTCTTGGCTGTTGTCAGGAATGTGCTACGCGTGGTACGTAGCTGGTGGATTGCATTCCTTGTTCAGGAATAAGTGGCTTTTGAATGAGGGCTGGTATGGAATGATGGCTGCGCTGAACTTGGATGTTTGTATCATACTTATGATGCACTAGTGACCGTATAAGGGATGGCGACAGGAATGAAGTACCGGTATAGCGTTTGGCATGTTTTTATCTGAACTCCTACTGGCTCACCTCTTGGGAATCTAGCTTCAGAGATTCCGAGTAGAGTGGGGAGGGGGGGGCTAGGTTAATTCACTTTATAGCTCCGGGGATTCTGGTATTTCCCCTCCTTTTCCTTCATGCGATGGCTGGTTTGAAAAGGCGGATGTCTGGTCAGCCGAGGCTTTGTATCATACTGGGATGTTCGTTCGTGTATGCCTTTTTTTGGGGCGGGGTAAAGGAGGGTATAGAAGACGATAGTGTAACGTATTGGGGGGCTGTCAGACCAATAGCAAAGCCGTGGCGGTCTCGGTTAAATTTAGTGCCGCGGTTGCTTGTTAGGTGCTTGCATTGTGTTGCTTTTGTGGCTAGAGTGCCCCTCTCTGGTAGTCATGCCGATAGTTTATGATACGAAAAGATGTCTGATGGTCGTTCCTCCGTTCGGGTATGGTGCTAGAATTGTACGTACTGAGCTTTCCTATCACCACGACGGATAGTTTGAGGGTGCTTTGGAGTGTTTATGGTGGGCTTTCGTGCAATACTCTGGATCACCCTGTTATACGATATGTGGGCCCATGTTCCGCAATTGGATGATTCCACTAGTCCCGTTTTGTGGCGTATACCCAGTCACCAATTACCCCAGGTGGAGTTGGCGAATGATAGAGCGAGCGCAAGAAACGAAAGACTGATGCATTTTTATTGGATAGTTAGTCTAGTATGGTATTTGAATACAGGTATCCTGGGTCGCAGTGAACAGGTAACAGCATACTGTGAGGGTATGATTGTGTGGTCGACGGCAGAAATCTCCTCACGATACATTGAAGGAGTGTAGGTTCCTATCATCATGGTCCTTAAATAGCTAGGGTATATCATAAATGGTTCCTTGTTCATACTTACTGGGCTGAATATATAAGTGATAGGTTAATTTAAGTAAGGAAGGGGGCAGGCTACTTTTGCGTTTGATTTGCAGTGTACATAGTAAAAGCGTTCGGCTGGGTAGGCTATAATTTGCAGCCATGACCCCTACTCGTAGATACTAGGGAGGGAACGCTGAAAGGTGCTTTGTGGTGTTTTTCGACATCGGGTAAGTTCACTGTAGGGGTTTTAGGTGCTGGGTTATATTTTTTTTTATGCACCGTTTAGCAGTTTATATCTGCGGTGTCATCGGGCTCGTTCAGCCACAGAAGTTCCCGGGGTGGCGGTGCAGTATTTGTGCAACGGGCTAGCCCAAAGCGATGTGTGGTATCTCAGAACTATACGATAGTATGATAGTGACAAGGGCTGCCTCGGTGTCACAGCCTTTGGGTGCAAATGTTGGGCTGGTCTTGGGTAGCAATGGAGGATCTGGAAGGGGTTTAGAAGCGGTCTTGGCATATTTTCACCCTAGGATCTAGAAATTCTACCTCTACGAGTAGATTCTCGATTCTCTAAAATCTGAGCTACCCTCACCCCCCCTCAGTTCAGATGGAAGGCTCAGAAATCTAGAAACTTGTATATGGTTCGGCAAACCAACCTCAAGGCTGTAATTCTCAACACCTTGGGCCATATTTCTCAATACACAAAATGGATGACTGATGACTGACAAACTACTTCGAAATGAGGTTTCATGAGGGTACGTTATCTATTTGGATTTCTCGAGTTTCACATTTGCAGTTTTGTGTTGCTGCAATCATCATAACCTGGGAATTTGTAGATTGGCTTTTTCTATGGTGCGAGAATAGCCAGCGATCCAGTTTTCTGTTCCAACCTCCGGATTTTTTTAAATCCCTCCGGGAAGTCCTCTATTGACTGGTGAGTTTATGTTAAATTACCGTACTATACGATATTGTATCGTATGGTACATTATGTGAACTTGCCCTTCAAACCCGAGTCAGGTATCAGTATGGGGCTATGATGTTTTCCCCCTCAAAAACCCGAACGAAGTCCCCTTTGTGTTGTAATCTGCTCCCCTCCTGTCTCTCTTCACTCATAGTTGGTATGATAAAATCAAGTGATGCAACCTTTTTTATAGAGCGATAATGTGTGAGTATACCTAGTAGTACAATAGAGGGAAATGCTGATTATCTGTACAACATAGGGGAGAAAAAAATACATGAATTGGGGGGTTTTTTTTTAAATTTTTTTATCATAACCATATTCATTGTTTCTACATAAAGTAGCAGTACAATAAAACCCCTTTGCAGCAAGGGCTATGAGGAGCAAAACTGCCCCACCCCTGGCCAAGCCTAAGATTATCAGAGAGAGGTTCTCTTGTTCGCGGGTCTTTGGGTGTGGAAGAGACTCCTGGTCAAGCAACTTCCTGGTATACAACAAATCAAAAAAGCTCCAGATATGGTATCAGGAATATTGGTAGCAGTGAGTGGTCATGGAAGACTGCTAGAGCCGAATGGGAACTAAATTAACTTGGGTTGGGGCTGGAGGGCTGTGGAAATCTGGTCTAGGCTTCCCGTTGTTTCTCGATGGGGACGGGGGGTTTGTTCCCTGTTTTTTTTCAGACTAGTATTTATTGGATTTGCTTCACTCTTCTAAGATATCCGCGACGGGGTTTCTCGTGTTTTGGGGAATAGAGACCTTCCGAACGGTTGAATATTTCTCTGAGAAGTATTCCGACATCCAGTAGTTTCATTGTTTTCTTCGCGATTGAGTGGGGTCTGTTTCGCGAGTGGTTTTAATAAATATATATTCATCGAACGGGTAACCAATTGGCCAATTAGGCTACTTTCATACTGGAATGCTATCCGAACTCGAATGGAGAGTGGAGGACGGATGCGCTAGGACTTGCGATTCCTTCTCCTAGCGAGGCGCCATGTGTATTTAGTGGTTTTGTGCCAGTTGGGGGCTTGGTTTCTCTGCTGTTGAGAGATGAGGTTGCGGGGTCCTCGCAAGTGTAAGTTAGCTTCTATTCGATTTCTTATTGTATCGCACTACTGAATGAAATTTATACTTGGCCCAGTTGCCAGTAAATGGCCCAGTGTCTTGGATACCCCAGTCGTGAGAGAAGGCGTGTGAGTGAGAAGGTATGAACGAGAGGATATAAAGTGAGGGGAAGACCTTTTCAGTGTAGTACTGTATAGTGCCCTACCGTCTCGTCGAATATTGGAAGAGATGCGGACAAGTGGTGGGGTCAGAATGAAATTTATATACAGTATCATACTGGACGGTACCTATTCCGTTAGAGCAATTCCGTCCGAGCAAGGGGCGGTAGTTATGGAGAGACGCGGAAGTGGATAGTTTAGATGGGAGTGGAAGGGCTTGGTATACTGAATATCTCGGGATCCTTGAATGGCCCAAATAACCCTTTCCCCGCTGCCTCTGTTGCTAGAAAACCTGCTCAGCTCCCAGACTGTTTTGCCCCCCCCCCTTCCGGGCACTTTCGACTATGAGTGATGAAATGCGAATGCAGCTGAAGCCCACCCATATCTTGCGCAACCGCCCCAGCGCTCCCGGTGTCTGATAGTAGAATAGTATGAGGGTGGTGCGGAACTTCAAGGGCTTAGGCCCTGAGAACCACATGAGCGCGTAGTATATAATAGCACGGTTAGGGTATCAGTTTCTCTAGCTATAATGTATTGCCCTGAAAAATACTAGTTTGTTTAAGTTATAACGAACTCACGTGCACACCATTGCCAAGGTTGCACATCCTTTGGTTCGGGGGCGGATTCCACACCCCTTCTGCCTTTTTTTTTTTAACTCTTTAGCATATCATAATGTACTGGTAGAGCATTGTATGGTAGACCTATTGGGGGCTGGGATGGTGCTAAAGTTGCAGCGTTTGCCTTACCGGTAGTTGGGAGCTTGTGCTCGGTAGGCTTTCGAGGTTTCGGTCCGTGACACTGTGGGGTCGTTCTGTTGAGTTTTGTTGGAGATTATGAGTGTGCAGGATTGTGCGGCGTGGGGTGGGGTTTGAAGTTATGCGGGTGGCCTACTTCAGGTCAGACTAGCCTGCCAAATGCTGTCGAGTATTGCTCTTGTGGTCCGTTGTGGGTGGCAGGTGGGATGAGCAGCTTGTACTAATTTGCATGTAGTTTGGTAGAGTGCTAGGAACGTCTGGTGTACGCTTCCCGTGCAGCTATTCTTGATAACATAAAAAAGAAGAATCGCTTTTAGGGTTACTCCGGCATGCTACTATCTATCCCTACTGCTGCCATCTACTCCCCCGAGCGACATATCTCCCTGGCCATATACTATTTTCTACGCGACTCCACTTCCTATTCTCACCCTCTATCAGCATTCGTCAGTCCACGCACCGGGATCATCTTAGACCCGAGAACCAAAAGATTTCTATAACCAAATGATCACCTAGCTTCACCTACTATCACTCGTTGTAGAAGCCTGGCAAAAACAGCTAAACCAATAAGAAGGATAGACAAAGCGAGTGCCGATTCACGGATGCTAGCGCTCTTGACTAGGGTCTGGTCATGAGGATAGACTGGCACATTTCCGGGAATTGGATGAGAGAGGAAAAAAGGCTCGAGTATCGTAGACTACGCTGAGATATATATATATATTTTCCGAAAAGAAATACATTGAGTCACGTGAATACGTCTAAAAAAAATGATAGGATCACAATATTCGCCCCCCTCTGTTATCACAATAGTCCATGTTTGGAAGGGTGAGGCTAGTTGGTGCGTATCCCGTGGGTGTCATACAAAGGTGGGTAGAGTAGTAGATCTTGGGGGGTTAAAGTTATGGTTTGCATGGGAAGTACAGTAAGTCTAGCACGAGAGACTTCTGTATTGACTTGTTTTTCGTCCTGACCTCTGGTCAGCGATTATGAACTGGGATTGGGTTCCGCTAATGCTGTGCATAGGAGGACATGGTTCTCGCGAAATATCGGAGGAAACAGGATGAGATTATCCAAGAAAGAAGGTTTATATATACGGAAAGAGAACCTGCTATGGAGGGGTAATATGCGAAGAAATGACCCCGGGAATCATAAGATGATAGCACCCCCCCCCCTCTGCCCCAATAGCATAAGCACGAAAGAGTTGAGAAGGTCAAACATCTATATAGTACAAAAGAAAGTGATTGCCTGAGATAAGCGCACGTCCGAGAGAATTACAAGGATTGGGGCGTACTAATACAGGGAGATGTGAATGCCATTTCGTCATTCTGTTAGAGACCTCTTGTGCATACTGTCCAATTTCATATTGGTGAAGCTAGATTTTGGTTAACTCTCGCTTCCCCGCTGGCACTCTAGTACTCGCGTGCAAGTAGCAAAAGACACGAAAGATGGTGCATGTTCGCCCATTTGGCAATGGCTCTCGCTCGTGTCTTTAGCGGGTCTTGTGTGTTTCCAACTTGGAAAAAAAAAAAAATTAAGAACGGTGCCAATACCGGTGTGTGCCAGTGTGATAGCAGTAGGGTGCTAGCCTGTGAAGAAAAGCATTAGGATGCTAACCAGCAGCAGTGTGATGACAACCGGTGACGGTAGAGTGCCGGCCGGGAATGCATCTCGGGCTGTGCCACTCAAGTGCACGATAGTGGTCATGGTATCCGTTTGATTTATTTTGGCAGTCTTGTACTTTTCCAAAACGCCCAGCGCGGGATTATCCCAGCGTGTTTGTATAGTACGGTAGTGGGGTGCTTGCTATGGGATTTTATTCTATGGGGAGGGCCCTCACAGCGTACCTCTGAAGCTCCAAGTTCAGTGTGCTGGCTAAGATCGAGAGATTTTTGTGTATTTTGTAGCGTTGAACCCCTTTCAGTCCTTACCGTACTAAATGGGAGGACGAAAAGTGGGCGCCAGAAACTTGCAGGAAAGGAGTTTGACATGTCTGTTGAGATCTGAAGTGTTTCCTTCTGTTCTGACTGGGGTTACGGCACCCCGTTGGTTTACGGTTAGCTGCTGCACTATGTCGTATGGTAATGTATCCTACTCTGGCACAGTACATAAAATGCTGTTGCTGGTGAAAAACTCTCTCGGGACGCTGGGAAAGGTATCTTGGCTCCTGTGGGGGAGGAGCAGGTCTGTAGTGCTGTAGTGCCTTGGTAAGGTTTATATACATGGGGAAGGTACTGCGCAAGTAATGCAGATAAAGGAGGTTTTCTTGAGTCTGTTACTTCTAACAGCACCTGTGCGGATACTCCCAAAAACGGAAATGATGCCGGTATTACATTCCACGGTTGCGGCAACCGTTCTTGCCTACCCCACCCCCCCGGAGGACCAATCTCCCCTTATCGTACACCCCTCTTCCCGAGTTCACTCCGTAGTGTCTACCGATATTAGGACTTGTCAATCCACAAACCCGGGTCATCTTATATCCAGGAGCGAACACTTCAATTTCAATCGCTCAAAGTACACGCCAGGGGGAGTGAAAGGGAAAAAAACAAACAGATGAGAAGCTTAAACAGGAAAATTACCAGTAGAGTACCGTAAAAGCTGTTGAAACCCACTATCCCCGTCATCCCAGAGTAGGTTTGGTTCGGCGAGTTAGCAGAACCACATGTAAGCTGCAAACGCCGGTTAATGAGATCTAGCGCCTCATGAGAGCAGATATCTCTCTATAGCAGAACAACACTAATTGTTCTCGCCAGCTTTTTTTTTTTGGTCTCTAAAAGTAGAGAATGGGACTGCCTGAGATCGTGGGTTTCAACATATTCTATGACGCAAGTATACTGGTTCCAACCTATGCTTTATCATCGGCACATTGGAGGAGATAGGGTGGGAGGGAAATAGGGGTGCTATGGATCCGGTTCGGTCGTGAGATTTTATTTTTCGCGTTTTAGTGTGTAAATAGGACCAGATCCACCTCTCTCCCCCGGGGCCTAACCAGTGCAAATTAGAGCATCATAAGATGGTGTGAATTTTGTAGATTACGATACCTGTAAGTGGTTTAGTGTGCTAATTTCTTCTCTGGTATGGTACAGTCGCTAAACCCTCCCTTCACAAGAAAGTTATCATATCATACCCAACTTGATGCGTAGGATCATATTGAAAGACGTGAACCGGCGCAGTCGGCCAAGCCCAGTATCATACCCTTCCCGTGGCGCGGGTTTATGGGTATGCTATAATAGACTGTCCGGGTAACGTCCTGACATGCATAACCTGGCTCGGATATCAACACCGGGGGTCCAACTCAACCCATCCCAAGTTTTACCCCCCACCGACCCTCGGAGCCCAAGCCCCCCTGAGAATCTTGTCGCTGGCCAAGGCGACAAGAACCCTGTTTTCCACAAGATTACTATACTCACCGCCTTGAAACCGAACATAAAACCTGAGAACTCTCTCCAAAAGCGGTCTAGCTACTCTTGTAAAGAGAGAGCCAATTAGTGATAGCTCCTCTGTAAAATTTTATGCATGTAGAAAGCAATGTAGATGAGAAAGGGTCCTTGGATTTGTCTTTTAGATTCCTGGGTATGATGTTGTGTCATACAATAGCACTCGTATTTAATCACTCGTAATGCCATAGAGAGAACCCCCCCCCCCCCCCCACCACCACCACCACCACCACACCACACCACACAGCACCCACCCCAATTCCAAAACATTTCCAAACGGACCTGCAACCCCTCAGCCCACCCCCAGACCAACCCCTCCAACAATCGTGAAAACCCCAGGAACGTACAACTATCACCCCCTTTATCAGACTAGCATTCGCCCCGCTAACCACCCTACAACCATCCCGCTGCACAAGCAGCAGCTAATGCTGGGAACGCATCGCGATGGGATGCGGATTTTTGGTTGTGAATGGGCACCGTGAGTCATTGGGAGGGGAGCACCATATCATACTAGCAGGTGGGGCGGCGACGCCGGTGGTTGGGGAAAGAAGGAGGGAAAATAAATAAATAGAATTGGGTTGGAAGTGTGCAAGGAATAATAGAAGGGGTTGTAGATTGTACAGGTGGAGAGTTGCGGGGTGTCGAGCGCTGTGCGCCGGTGTAATAAGTGTAGAACAGTTTCGCTATAGAATAAAGAATGTGTCCGGCTTTCAAGTCAAGCTTCACTAGCACATGTAAATAGAGTCCCTGGAGGAAATTTCAGGCGAGTGATCGTTTATGACGATAGTACAACAGTTCCACACTAATATAACCCATCCAACAGATAAAGCCTAATGCGGAACAAAGGTCAAAGTACCGTATATCATGCATATTTCTCAACAAAAGCAACTGACCAGCCAACACACCGTAACCAACAATGAAAACAAAGCTAAAACCGTAAACCCAAACAATCTCACCCGCACTGACTCACGCTTTACGATAATTATTCATCCTCCCCCCGTGCTACTCACTTTCCTCACCTAACTTTCAGGTTCTCAGGCGGTAGTATTGGGGTCAGTCTTGCTCTCGGCGGAACTAGTTGGCTCATTGGCGGCGACCCCCCCGAGGTTCTTCTGAGCGACGAGGCTGACTTCGCCGTTTTCGCCACGAAGGTCGGCTTCGACCAGTCTGTTGATTCGTTTCTCTTGAATGGTGAGGTCTTTCATTACGTTTCCCTTCCAGCCATCGACAATGGACAGGTCACGTTCGACTTCTTCGGTTAAGCGGCCGACTTTCGCGTCTATGCTTTCTACCGGTTCGGCGTCTCCCTCCGCTTCCGCATCCTTATCGGTCCCGCCCCCAACCGACCCCCAAACTTCCTCCAACTCTTCAGCCCACCCCAACTCCTTAGCCAACTTTCTCACCCCCTCATCACACCCGCCCAGAAAAATCACGTCGTCCGCCCGCCCACCAATCTCCCCCGCCCTCTCATTATTGATTAAAAGCCTTACAGCCCCCTCCCTGGCCCGTACAGGAAGCGCCGCAAAGGGATAAACACTCAACGAACTCCCCATAACAACCACCAAGTCCGCCTCCCCAACCATTCCAATCCCTGTGCGGAACTCCCCCGGCAAGTTCTCCCCAAAAAACACGATATTCGGTTTCACCAACCCGGCGCAAGCCTCGCACTTGGGAACACTTCCGGCGAGAAGGTGCTCCTTCATCTTGTCGGCCGGGTACGCGACGTGACAATCGATGCATGACTGCCCCGCAAACGAGCCGTGCGCTTCAACGAGCTTCTCTGGCGGAACCCCGGCGGCGCGTTCCAGCGTGTCGATGTTCTGGGTGAAGCACTTGTGTAGCAAGTTCTTCTTTGCCGTTAATGATATGAAGGCGTGTGTGACTGTCGGGGTGAATTGGCCAGGGTGCAGGGATTTCGCAAGGGTGTAGAATGGCTGTGGGTTGGTGCGGAAGAAACTTATGTCGAAGACGGCCTCTGGGTGCGGGAGGTTTAGAGTTTGGAGGTTGGAGTAGAGGCCTGTACCCGGAGTGCGGAAGTCCGGGATACCGGCGGAGGTGGAGATACCGGCACCGCACTTGGAGATACCGGTATGTTAGCTTGTGGTGGTGGTAGCGGCGGTGGGGCTTTGGGAAGGGGGAGTACCAGAAAGACTATCTTTTCACACTTCCCGCTCAGGATGAATTCCGCTACCGCAGGCAGGTCTCGGCGGGAGAGTGTTTGCGGGGGGGTGTTAGCATGGACTTGGGTGGATAGTTCGCCGCCCATTGTTTCTCTGTTGAAAGTCCTCCGTCTTTTTCTTGGGTTGGGTATTGAGAGAGTGAGGTTGATTGAAGGGAGGTTTCCAACCTCTATAGTGGGGGCGGGGCGGGACCACGTTAGTCTTGGCGCAAAGAGCCTCATATTTTAAAGTTGGTTGCCATGAAGTGAAGCCAAGCATGATAGGCGTAATGACGTCATTCATCAATACCGTATCTGTAGGGTGCTAGAAATGACAAGGGGAGAGTAAATTATGTCCTGGTGTTTTGCGCTGAAACCCCCGTTGCAGAGCGGCTTGCGAATACCAGTATCACCTTTGGTTCACTCGTACGAGGTGTGCAGCACAGTGGTTCTAAATCTCAAGATTCCTCTAGACTGGGTGAGCCCTCAGCGAGGCGACACCC